CTGATTTACTTTGCAACATAGACACTGTTATTGAACTGAATCGAATCTAAATTGATCTGAATAATGACATTATTGTCTTCTGTAGAGCTGCTTTACAGCTAAAATTGAATTTGTTTCATAATAGTTGAATTTTACAACATAAACACTCTTATTTTCCTGTTTTTAAATGTGAAACTGCTTTGAAACAACTTGTGTATTTGCATGTAATGTCCCTTTTTAGGATACTAATCCTGTTTTCATCTCATCCTTGTTCGCAGTTACATTCTCTGATATTGTTTTAGCCTTATTTCTTCTCTTCTAACTTTATTATCTGAATTCGCAGATGCCTGGAAGAGTCGATGGGTGAACTCGGAGCACAAATCTGACTATGGCCAGTTTAAACTAACCGCCGGAAACTTCTACGGAGATGCTGAGAAAGACAAGGGTAGGCTTTTACATCCCTAAAAATAGGCCTGGGTGATAAAACGGTATCGATATTTATCGACGGTACACCTTCCTCGATAACGATATAAATGCTATGAGTGACGCAGACAGCACACGCAAACACAAACATGAGGGCTGTGCCTGCCTGTGATGAGGAGATTGTGAATAATAAAAAAAAAAAAAGAATATTAGTCGAATATAAAATAAACATATATATATATATATATATATATGAGATATTTCCTACACTTAACAAGCTGGAATTACAGTCAATAAATAAAACAATAAAAAAATAAAGATATTTCAGGTTAAAAAAACTGCAAATATTTACAATATTATACATTTATACAAACAAACAAATCATTAAGTATTATTTTTATGTATTTTATATAATCATATATTTTCAATCATATATTATTTCACTCAGAAATTTGAGAAAAAGTAAATGTCGTTTTTATTTTCAAATATTATTTTTTGTTTACTTTTTAAAAAATAAATAAACAAATAACATTTAATTCAATGTGAAAGACTGACATAATATTTTCTTGTAAAACAAACCAGTAATTTGTTTTATTTACAGCTTCGAAATATCATTTTTTTACAATGTAGTACTGCATATATATTTTTATTTCTAAAGTTGTAAATCTCACCGTTTTATTATTAAATCAACCCTTCTACACATTGGACTGCGAAAGGAAAAGGTTTTTTCATCACCTTCAAATTAAAACGGCATGCTCTAAAAAAAGCAAGCTCAGGACTTCTCACATCTAAGTGCTCAGGGTTTCCAAACAAATTAAGTAACTTCGCTGACTTGCTCAAGTCATGTCCCATGACTCTCATTCAGGGCCCAGAATTTCTGCAAACTCTGTCAAAAGGGACCTTTGCCAGCAAGTTTTCACCCAGAGCAACTCAAGGCCAGATAACAAGCTACTGTGAGACGAGGGGAGTCCTCGTTCCCCCTGCGAGCGCATGCCGGAGCGGCTACATCATCTTTATCATCATCGTCCTCCTCGACCCTGAAGACAAGGGGCCTAATTACGTTACAAACCCTACTGGCTATCGGCCAGGTCTGCTGAATAAAGGGGGCAACAACTGTCTGCGATGCTGACAGAACAAGAATTGTCCATGACTGTGAGAAAGGCTTGTCGAGAGTCTCAAGATCTGTGCGGGGACGGCAGCAGATATCAGTCGAGAGGAGCTGGCATCATATCAATTGCCGCAAACTGCTCTTTAGGAAACCGGGCTGCGGGACAATAAAGAGGCTTTTGTTCACAGTGGTAACTCACAACACTAGCCCACACAGTCATTAAGAGAGACAGCAGACGGACATAAGGCTGAGTAAGCCTTCTCATAAATTTCATCAAAGTGTTACCCTTCCCTTCAGAGACAGAAAACGAGGATAGAAAGCTTTTCTGCACGGGCTCACTTCTTTGAATAAGACTGATAGCTGCTATTTTTGGCATGCTGACCGCTTTTGAAGAGGCCGGAGATTTATTCTAATCACTCTTAAACAGGTGTGAATCGGCGGAGGACAATGCTAAACGAGCACATACTGACTGAATAACCACTTTACAGAAGAGTCCTGCTGAATGTACCGATAACGTCACAGCTGAAGCTTGTAATGGCTTTGAATTGTTTGTAAGAAAGGGACAACACCAAAACAATATTTAAAGACATTTTGTGTGGTAACTGCATGGGAAGTGTGACATAGCTGTGGTCTGAGGGAAAACATTTTTTTCATTGAAGCAGTCGCAGGGAATTCACATAAAGACAGATATGACCTCAGTTTCTTGTTTTTCCTTTCAAACAATCCCTGCCAGTTTAGCTTCCAAAAGCGCACTACAATAACTAAGGTTTCCACCAAAATGCCAAACTTATTCTGGTTATTGCTACAATAGAACTATGCTAACCTTGTATTAGCCACAGTCATCCAAAATAGGCTAAATGACAGATTTCCCTTTTGAAAAAACCAGCATATGCTGGTTAGGTATGTTTTGACGCTGGGATGCTGGTTTAAGCTGGACCTTTGCTGGTTTATGCTGGTCCTTTGCTGGTTTAAACTGGTCCTTTGCTGGTTTAAGCTGGTCTTTTGCTGGTTTAAGCTGGTCCTTTGCCGGTCTTTTGCTGGTTTATGCTGGTCCTTTGCTGGTTTAAAATGGTCCTTTGCTGGTTTAAAATGGTCCCTTTGCTGGTTTATGCTGGTCCTTTGCTGGTTTAAGCTGGTCCTTTGCTGGTTTACAAAACATACCTAACCAGCATATGCTGGTTTTTTCAACAGGGTTGTACAATTACAACAAGAGATTTCACTACAAATGACTACATTTTTACATTTTTCTGAGTGGTTCTTGTCTGTGTGGTTGCTGAAGAGTTTAGCTTGTTTTTGGTGAATTTCTATGTGGTTGATAAGGTTTTCCTAATGTTTAGCGCATTGCTATGCAGTTGCTAAAATGTTTCAACTGTTTTTAAGCAAGTTGCTAGCAAGATTGCTAAAGTGTTCTTTATGTTTAACACATGCAGTTGCTAAAGTGTCGACTGTTTTCAACAAATTGCTAAGGTGTTTTAGCGAATTGCTATGTGGTCGCTAAAGTGTTCTGAGTGTTTTCCCTTACAAAAATTAACCATGGTTTTATTACAGTAACCATGTTTTTTTTGTTTTTTGGCGTATTGATTACCATTTGTATAACCACAGTTTTACTACAAATACCATGGTTAAACTATGGTTAGTGTAGCAAAACCATGGTTAATTTGTGGTTACCATGGTTTAACTATAGCAACCATGGTTTTTTGGTTTTATTTGTAGTAAAACCAGTTCATTTTTGTAAGGATTAATGCATTGTTCCAAATGATTTTGTTCATTGATTTGTAGTTGCTAAGGTGTTCTGTGTTTTAGTGCAATGTTATGCAATTGCAAAATTGTTCTGTGCTTTAGCGCATTGCTAGGCGATTTTTTTAGGAGTTGTGAGTGTTTTAGCGCATTGCTATGCAGTCGCTAAGGTGTTCTTAGTGCACTCCTCTAGTAGTATGTCATATATAATAGGCATTCTGGTGGAAATTATGGCCACCATGGTACATTTTTGCATTTGTCACACACAAGCACAAGGTTAGCGCATGAAATTCCTCTACTGAAAGTCAACAGGCTAACTGTAGGGCGCAAATGAAAGCGATACTGGATACCTTCAGAAATGTCTGACTGGGACATTCTGTACATTAACAAGCTTTAATGACAAGATGGAATACAATCAGGAAAGAACTACAAAAATTCAAGTTAAAGAGAACCAAAAATGCTACAGGCTGACCAAACCAGAGAAACCAGGTGAACGAGGAAAAATTCAGACAGAAAGAGAGCGGAAAGTATTAGAGAGTCAAAAGAGGAACCGAAAAGCAGAGACAGTGAGATGTCCTTTGTACAGATCATTCCAATCATGGACAGAATAGAATATAAATCTCCAAAAATTCCACAAACTATTAAGAAAAATACTCTGCGAGACAAAAAACAATCTGAATGGCACCACACTAGTGGTTTGGAACACACAAGGTCAGATTTTTCAGAATATTCAAAATAAATCAGCATTCGCTGTATGTTACTTGGCAACAGAAACTACCACGTTCTGGAGAGGTCACTGATGATTGTTTTATTCCAAACACACAAAAAACCTCAAACCTGCAGAATTCATGCTGCATGCTCCACAGGAGACTCCACTCACAATTACAACTCACTGATTTCAATGGCATATAGCATATATACGTTTTTTTTTTTTTTTTATTAAATAAGTATAAATAAATATTATAAATATTATTACAAATAATAATTTCACCTATTTGTATTCATATATTTTATATATATATATATATATATATAT